TCATTTTGTTTTCTTTATGATTGAGTTTTGGTAGTTCTTTATATATTCTATATACTAGTCCTTTGCTGGATATGTGGTTTGCAGATGTTTTCTCGCTATCTATTGGAGCTTGTCTTTTCATCCTCTTAAAAAGGTCTTTCACAGAGCAAAAGTTTTTAATTTTGATCAAGTCTAGTTCATCAGTATTTTTCTTTTATCTATTGTGCTTTTGGTGTCAAGTCTAAGAACTCTTTACATGGTCCAGATCCTGAAGATTTTCTTCTATTTTCTAAAAGTTTTACTATTTTACCTTTTACATTGAAATCTGTGACCTGCTTCAATTAATTTTTATATTAGATTTGAGACTTAGGTTGAGGTTCATTTAATTTTTGCCTATAGAAACCTGGTTGCTCCAGCACCATTTGTTGAGAAATTGCTTTTCCTTTATTGCATTGCTTTTGCACCTTTGTCAAAAATCAGTTGCGCATATTTGTGTGGGTCTATTTCTGGGTTCTTTGTTGTTTTCTGAAAGATCTATGCATCTATTTTTTCATCAATAACACAGTTATGATTACTATAGCTTTATAGTAAGTCTTAAAGTTCAGTAGACAGATTCTCCCACTTTATTCTTCTTTTTCAAATAAAATTATAAAATCAAAATGAACAATTCTGGTTTCTTTGCCTTCCCTATAAATATAACACACATAATAAACCTTTTTTATCTTCTTTAAATCATTTTCTTTGATCCTCTATCCAATTTTTTGTTTCCTTACATGTCTTCCAGCCATTCTTCAATTTCCCTTATTAAATTTTCATTCAAGTCTATTGTTTTCAATTTATAATTTATTTCTCATTTACTCAATTTCTTTGAATGGGGTCATTTGTTACTGCATTTTTTCCTTTCTGTTGTTCTTGGGTAGGTCTTGTCCATTTCTTAGTTTTAAAATTTCTGATACCAGGTGTGTGTGTATATAAGTGCTGGTCGAGGATATTTACTTCACTTCAGAGTATTGTCTTACAATTTTCCTCTCTCATGATTGCTTATTTGGTGAGGATTTCATATCAACTAAGATGACTGTATCTCCATTTTCATGTGGTCTTTTTTCTCTACAGGAGTTTTATTGGAAGTTTAATCTTTTCCCAATTCCTTGGTGTTTCATGGGCTGATTATGACTTAAAGAGCACCCTTGCCTGTCTCCTTTGTGAGATAGTGTTTTGCAAGCATTTGATGATGGTGGTGGAGAGGGGAAGGAGGAAAGACTGGATTCGCCTACCTCTTGTTTGCTTTCCTGTCTGCTGGATCCTTAACGTCCCCTTCTTCCTTCTTTACTCTCCCTGCTGTGTCTCTGAAGGACACAACCTGTGCTCAGTTGAGTTTTCTCCTGGGGAAATGACCCTTGCCTGAGGCTGCCACTTGGAATTTGGCTTGATTCTGAGCTCCTTTCCTGTGCCTGTGCCCGGAACCCCCAGGGACTGATTTATGGTCATATTCTGGCACTGACTCATATTGTACTTTTTGTCTCTAGGCATGGTTTTGTCTGTTTTGCCCGTGTTGTCGTGAAGTCCTTCTCTCTTTTTCTTTTCCACGGAAGCTTACCCTACTTCCCGCGCCCACATAGTGGGCCCATAGCAGCTGCCGTTGGATTTATTTTTTTACTTATGAATAATGTGAAGTTTGGCATATTCTCTGCCTCCTAGTAATGCCAATGGCATGGGTGGTCACGGGTAATTTAATTCGTGCTGCTTGATGACATTATAGGTTCTGTGGGGAAGATGTGTTAAAGATACAGGTTCAAATGGCTGCCATTATCCTTCATACTCAGAAATCTATAGAATGTGATAATTTATTGAGCAAAAAGCATCATGGAATCCCTATAAAATCTGTGCCATTGTGGGATATTTGGGGAAAAACAGACATTACAGTTAAATTACAACTTTTATATAAAGAAACTTTCTTTTTTATCATCAATGACAATAGAAATTCTTGCACTTGGATTATAGTTTTAAATAATTCATCTACTTTAAATAAGTAATATATAGGGACAGGCATAGAAATCCTATGTTTCAATACTAAGAAGGATCTCAAATCCTAATTGTATCATATGGAATTTTAGAGCTGAAAGAAGTTAGAGGCAGTCTAATCTAATCCAATATGTCGTTCCACAGATGAGACCTTGTCCTCACAAAGTCTCATCATGGGTAAAAGTTACAAGCAGGGATGGTCCTGTGCCCAAGTTCCCTTGGCTCCCTGCCCTTGGGTCCTAAAGGGCCCCAATTCTGGTTCAGCCTTTGGTAGCTTAAATATCATCATGACCTTTTCCTGTGGGGACAAAAGAAATGAAATCGCTTGCCCCCAATTGCACCTGCAGTAAGAACCAAAAGCTGGTGTGAGGCCAGCCAGAAGCAGCCTTCTGCAGTCGCCACTCACTGTGTTGCTCAGGCCGCATGTATCGGCCGCCTGCCCTGCTTGCTCTCTGCTCTCTTTCTACTAATACTTAATGAACACCTGAAACACTTCCGGCCAAGTTATGGGGTTGCGGTGTTCCCAGCAGACTTCACATCTAGTGCAGTTCATTTTAAAGGGATGCATGTGGCTCAGAGGTTGAGGGAGCAGAGAGGTGCAAGTTTACAGGGCCTGAAAAACAGAGGTTTCCAGAGAGGCTTTGCATTTGTACCCCCAAAGCAGTGTGAGGTCTTGGTCTAACTCTCCCACCCAACTTCGGCCCGCTTGAAGGGCAGGGTGCTTGTTGCAGTAGATGCCTGACTATTGACAAGAGGCTTATCTATCAAATTCTTCTTTGGGTGCTCTTGAAATGTGTACCTCGTCTATGCCAGGGTTGCCTTATGTTGAATTTTCTTTGTGAGCCAAGGACAGAATGTTCTTCTCTGCTGCGCCAATAACACTTTCCCATATACACTCAGAGAAAGCTTTTTCCCTCTCAACAGGGCTCAAAAGTCTTGACTAGAGTACTTCAGAAATAGGCCTAGTTTATACTTTTATCAAAACAAGCAGAGCCTGGGCAATTCCTAGCTTGGAATGTACCGATGATCTGAGTTCTTCCTAGGCAAGCACATGGATGGCGTTACCAAAGGGCAGATGTATAGCCCTCTGATCCCCACTCCGTAAGAGGAGGGGGTGCCAGCCATTGCTCGGGGAAAGGGAAGAGACTTTCTCGTGAAAAGAGGCTGGTGTTCACAGGGAGAAAAGGCTGATGGCATCTGCTGGTGTGATGCAGGAAAAAGCAGCTCAGGGTGCCCTGTTGTGCCCGTCTTACAGTCTGGCACGGAGAGAAGTTTGATTGACTATTATTTTTCTTGATGGAATATACTGATAGTCCCTATATTCATTTGGAGAATAATTAGAAAAATGGTGACAGAAAAATCTTGAACGTGGAATTTGCATGGAACTCTGCCCTGAGCATGCTTTGCCCTCCAAGGAGCTGCTACACTCCACACCCCCTACCCCCGCCTCCGAGAGCCACACGCAGGAGCCGTGTGCCAGCACTGGCTCCAGAGCAGTCAGGTTCTTCCTCTGCTCAGGGTGGGCCTGGTGTGAAGGGGAGGGTTTGTTTATCCTCACAAACTCTTATCGTGGGTAAAATTTGCTCAGCCAGCGTGTAACAAGTGGACAACAGAGCCTAGGAATCTCTCCTCTTTTCCCCCATACCATCTCACACACCCATCCTTCTTTATTCTGGGCTAAGAAAGAAAATGTAAATGGACTTATATTTTGCTTCCTGAGACAGTCAAGTAGTTTCTGCTGCTTCCCTGGGAATCCCCCTGTCTTCTCTCTTCCTACATTGTGTTTTTTCTCTCAAGGGTAAAACAGAGTGGAGGGCAGGCTTTGAGACCAAATAAGACTGTGGGGTAGCCATGCCATCTCACCAAACTTATCAACACATCTTATTAAAACTCAGTGATGCAGCTTCCACATCTGTAAAACCAAGACGTGTTACTGTCCAGGATCACGTGAAAATTCAGTGATATATGCACAACCATTAGCAATTGCCAGGCACATATAAGTTCTCAACAAGTGGCATCTATTACCATCATAGCAGGTAATCTGTATATATTACCTAGACTTGTGTTTGGCATTAGGTAAAGAAAAACTGGTAGAAATTATGTTACTGATTTCGGTGGCTCATGACTGACTCCAAACTGAGCGGAACCCTAGAGGCCTTCCAGGCCTTGTACACTTTCAGCGCCAGACCGAATATGCTGGCCGCAGGCGAACAGCACGATTCCCGGGCATGGTGTTGCCGCAGCTCTCTTGTCACGGTGACCCTCTGCATATTTGAGGTTATACTTCAGGAAGCAAGAAATACATCCTAGTGAATAGGGCCAGTTATATGGGGCAAGGGTTTTCTTTTACAAGTTATATTTCTGTTGAACTAGGTCAGCAATCGTTAACTATCCGGCCGTGACTCCGGCACGGCCCTCAGAGCCGGCAGTCCTGTGAGAAGCATTAAGGTGCAACACGGTGGTGCCTTAAACATTTTGTTTTTGAAATAAGAAACGGTGTGAAAGGCAAACAGAAACAAACCCGGAGCTTTCTTAGACCGTCCCTTGGGCAGCACCACTGAGCAGTGCTGGAGGACCCGGGTTTGAATCTTGTCTCTGCCACTTGCTAACCTGTGGCCTTGGGCAAGTCATTTTCCTGTTGGGGGCCTTAGTTTCTCTGCCCGTGCAAGGGGCTGCTTGCTAATAGCCCCATGAAAGGGCTGATACAGCAACAAGGACCATCGTGGGGTAATTCCCATCAAGGAGTGCCAGCTGGGCCTCGCCTTTAGTTCAGTCCGTTTGCTGTCACTACTTCATCTCCTCCTTTGGGCAGCCCAACGGATTTCCCCTGGGGGCCTCACGACCGAGTGACCCCGAGTCAGAGGGGCGCCCGGCCTGGCGCTGGGCCGAGGCTCCTTTTGGTGCCCTGGGCCCCAGTACGGCCCCCGGGGGCTCGCGGAGCGAACAGGCCGCAGGCGCGCGGTCTCTGAGCAGTGCCTCTGTCCCCCTGTCGGTTCCAGTACGCGGGCTTCCCCACGGAGAGAGCGGAGTCGGACGCTGAGAGCCAGTGGGGCGGCAGCCCGCTGCCCGACGCCGCGTCGCCGCCGCTGCTGCTGGACGCCGCCGAGCCGGGCGCCCCGCCCGAGGCCGCGTGCGCCTACCGGCCGCTCTGCTACGGCCTCGCGCCCGGGGAGCGGCCCCCGCCCCCGCAGGCCTGCGCGCGCGGCCGCTGCGAGGCGGGCCGGTACTTCCTGGGCGCGCCGCCGGCCGGCAGGGAGCCGTGGTGGGGCCCCCGCGCGGCGCCGCCCGCGCCCAAGGCGTCCCCGGAGAGCAGAGCAGCCTACGAGGGCGGCGCGCCCCTCCTCGCCGCGGCCCGCGGGATGCACGGTGAGGCGGGGCGCCCCCGGGGGCGGGGCGGGGGGGCCCGGGGTGGGCGGGGTTGGGGGGGAGCCGGGCAGGCCGCGCGCCCCTCGGAGCGTGCGCACCCCGCTTCTGTCAGGGGCGTTGACTTGGCTGATGGTGGCCAGATGCGTTCATTTTGGACAGGTGAGTGAAATGATTCCCGTTGTAAACCTCGCAGAAAGGATGCAAATTAAAGCGAATAGTTGCGTGAGCGCACTGAACCTGTGGTGTGTGTGTGCACGGAACATTTCTTGCGCATGTACCTTTATTACCTTCTGTATTCCTGGGCTTCAGCTGCGGACTGAAACAGTTTCAGGGCTCATTTAGCAATGCCCCCGGGTGGCGGGCCTGCGGGCCCGCGGGGAAGCCAGTCTTTGCTTCTGGGCTGTGGCTCCCATCACAGGTAGCTTGACCTCCCTGACCCCCATAACTTTGCTCCATCATGATGGCAAGCCACAGTGCCCCCGTGAGTAAGGCATGGGGTGACGTGTAGGACCCACGGAGATCTGGGGATTAGTACGTGGTTTTACGAACACGCATAAACAGGCCTTGCAGTTAAAGCCTCATCTGTTAGCAACGCCCTTTGTTGACTGCCAAGTAAACCGGTCAAGGAGAGGCCACTCTGTCCGTTACAAGCTCGGTCCAGGCAGGTCTTTGAAACCCTCCCTATTTCATTAAAAGTCAGTGTTACTAAGACTGATCCAACAGCCGAGGCATTTCTCTTCCTGCTGTGCGTTCTATGTGCACCCAGCATGCCCTGGCAAATGCACCCCCCGCCTTCCCCCCCCCCCGCCCCCGCACTGCCTGCCTTCCAGGAGTGATTTGAATTTGTTTCCATTTTTGCTTTTCATTTTTCTGCCTTTACTGGGAGTTTTTTCCCTAGTTTTATGGACTGGTAGTGGAAACCCAGGGCAAAGGGCAATGGCTTGCCTCAAAGGATGGAGTGAAGTGAAATCCTGGCTTAACCTACATGGTCTGGAAGAAGATATTAGAAATAAAATAAGAAGAAAAGGGAAAAGGAAAGCAATGACTAGTGTGATCCAGGGCTTGTCTGCTGCACTAAGTAGTTTACAGCTTTGATAGGTGCCTTCCTGCTTTGCACGTCTCTTTTTATATTGACTTCAGACTGTTTCAAGAATAATGTAGTTTATGGAATATATTTTGGATGCACTGTTCTTCCACATTAAATCTCTCCTTGGTTCAGAACAGATTGTTATTAACATTTAAAATATTCTTCACCTTATTTTAGAAACAATTTAAGATACCTGAGTTACTATATGATATGTGTGAAACTGAGATTTTTACTACTACATTTGATAAGACAATATTCTATATATATATCATACATGGGGTAGAGGTGTGTGTGTACATATATAGCCATGCATACCTATGCAATACAATATACCTCTCTATAAATATATACACATACATATGTATTTAGCCCTCAAATAATTAAAAACGAATTATCAGAGCTCTATTGTAACTCTAAGTTTTAGCAATTTTAATATTTTAGATGATTTGTTTGGAATCGAGAAAATAGTCCTGCCTCTATCATTGTCTTCCTCAAGCCCAATTGAAAGCACTTTCTAGCATCAATTTAACATAACACTTCTCCAGAAAATAACAGAGACCAAATGTTACACATTTTCCTCTTGTTTCCAGCCAGGCAGGTCCATGATGTGCATACATGGAGAAGTGTAAACACTGTACCTGTTTGCTAATTGGCATTCACAGCCCATGAACAAGGTCTGCCTCCTAAAAATTCTGTAATAAACTTCGTCTGCACTTAAAAGCCACTTAGAACTATGAAATCCAGTTATAATATGTTGACACTGACACGTGAGCCTGTGTCTGTTTCAAATATTGGTGCACATATTAAAAATGAAAGATAAAAGGTTTCTTTTAGTAGGAAAAAGAAACGTCTTCACATTTGGCATGCGGTGAATTTTGAGACCACTTTACTTCTACGTTTTGTAATTTCCAGGGCGAGGTCACTGGGATGAAGACAGTGTGGTCAGCTCTCCAGACCCCGGGTCTGCCAGCGAATCAGGCGACCGCTATCGCACTGAGCAGTATCAAAGTAGCCCACACGAACCGAGCAAAATTGAAACTCTGATAAGAGCCACCCAGCAGATGATTAAAGAAGAAGAGAACAGATTGCAGCTAAGGAAAGCCCCCCAAGATCAATTGGCTTCCATCAATGGAGCTGGGAAAAAACACTCCCTCTGTTTTGCCAACTACCAGCAGCCCCCACCGACGGGCGAAGCCTGCCACGTCTCTGTCGTTGCCAACAGCTCCCCGTGTGACCGCATCCAGCCCAGGGAGGGCAAGATGCTGAGCCCCCACGAGAACGATTACGACAACAGCCCCACTGCGCTGTCTCGGATAAGCAGTCCCAGTTCGGATCGCATTTCAAAATCGAGTTTGATCCTAGCGAAAGACTATCTACATTCTGAGATATCTCCTCACCAGACAGCAGGAGACCATCCTGCCATCTCTCCAAACTGCTTCAGCTCTCACCGGCAGTATTTTGATAAGCATGCTTACACGTTAACTGGATATGCCCTGGAGCACTTCTACGACAGTGAAGCCATGAGGAACTATTCGTTGGGCTGTAATGGCTCACACTTTGATGTAACTTCCCACCTGAGGATGCAGCCAGACCCGGCACAAGGACACAAGGGAACGTCTGTTATAATCACCAATGGAAGCTGATGGTTTTCTAAAATAGTTTGTTCGTTAAAGATCTCTGAAACATATTTATAGTTTAATGCCCCATTGCCAGCATTTACTATACCACAGATTATGGGAGAGGATAATTTAAGTTACTGGGTATTTGATGCACGTGTTCCTGTGAAATCACACCAATTAGCACTAGCATTCAGGGTATTACACAGGTAATGGAGCGGAAGTGAATGCACAGATTGCCCCTCAAGTGAGATGGAAACCAGCATAGGTAAATGTGGAATTGAAAAATACTCGTATAGATTAAATGAGCAGAGACACCACATGAAAAGATGGATGGATGACCAGCTTGCAGGGATGATCCAGTGAGCCTCACACACACCACCCCTGCTTAAATATCCACAAACGGCTGTCCATACTTTACATGCTGAAATACAGACTATATGGCATAAATACACCCCAAATGGATAACGTGCCTTACCCTAGCAATTCAAAGAAATTTCCATTCCCAAAATAACTTAGAAAGACAGAGATATGTCTTGTAAATTGGTTTCTTCTTTGTGGTTTCAACCAGTCAGTTCATTTGGTTTCAGGCATGACTTAGGGAAATGTTTCTGGATACGGTACAAGAATGAGTTTTCACCTGGTATCCATTATAAGCAGTCAGAAAGTGGTGGTTTTTCACCTTACTTTTGAGTTACACAAGGAACGGGATCACCCTGACATAGCAGTAAAGGTTTTCTAAGCAAAAGCACTGAGGTGTTGGGACACACATCAAAAACCTGGTGTGGCCAACTGGAAATAGTTTAGTGAAGATGGAAAGACCAGAACAGGGAGAAATGAGATGACATCTCAAAGCAAACAATTTAAGGCTCAGAATATGTACTAAGTATACTGGGGGCTTATGAAACAAACTAAACAAAATATTTCAATGAATTCACCATGAAAAATGGTTGATCAGTGCAAAATTAACTAAGGAAAACTAGTGAAGTACTCCATGACAGCAGCGTGTTTGAAAACACTTCAAAGCACACATGTGCAAGTGTGACATGTGGAGAGCCTCAGAAGAATGTCTAAGGGGAAAAGCTTGAGCTGACAGACAAGTTGTTAAAAGGGCAAGAATAATAATACTCTGACAGAAGGAATGGGCAAGGAGCTCATTGTCCTTCCTTGTAAACAAGAAAACAATGAATTTGGTTGTCATGTGATAGAGCAGAGAAACCAGCAGACTAGAAGTCAAGGTCTCTGGGTTCCAGTTCTGCCGTAGCCTGAAACTTATTTTGGGAACAAAGATGTGTCCCTCACCAGCCGAGGCCCCAGTTTCTTCATCTGTATGGCAGTTCTAATGTTCCAGGGTTCAGTGGTCACGGGTGCTACAGACCTGGACTTGTTAACCAGGTAACGCTCTGCTGTGAGTTGTCAAGACTGATCGTTCTGGCCTCTCTGCCCTCATGCAGACATCTAGATGCTTTGTAACTTATGCAAGTGCATGGGCGATTTTTAGGCTTGTACAATTACAGTCAACTTTCTAGTTCAGCCAGAATGTAGATGGTGGAAACTGATGAGGGAGAAGAAAAATAAGTAGGATTTATTTCATACACCGTCTTCTAGTAATCAAAGCAAAGTGACATATGAAGTTTCATAGATAATATTTCTTGGGAGTCCCTATACCCGAAACCTGCCGTATTCACGGAGGGGAATGTATCGAAGGACTTGACTTATCATTTTGAAGGCAGAACATGACATTGAACACTCAGGGATTACGATGATATTTTCATGGTTTATCACGGTTATTTGGCAGTCCATAGGGAGGTGACAATGAATGATGATAATCTGAGAGATGAATACTGGGTTGTTGTGCATGAGAAAAGAGGCCGCATAAAATTAAATAACTATTTCTTGGAAAGGGCAGAGTAACACTTGTGCCGTAAATGGAAAAAGTGCAAGTAAGTGAGAAAGTTAGTGATTCCCACATATACCTTCAGGAAAGCTCAAAGAACAATAAAAACTGAATTTTGAACTCTACAAGCGAAAGTATTCAGAAATTTTGAGAAAAATGTTAATGAGAAACCCCTAGAATACTTAAAATGGATTTTTGGTCAATTTGCAACATGGAGTAAGTAAGGTTTTAGGAGTGCCGAAGTTTCAGCGGAATTCTCTGGATGGATAAATTGTTCATAGACAAATATCTGAAGAATTCATGGTATATTTTGGAAAGGAAATCTATATAGATGGGTTTTACTGATGGACATACGGTCTATCAAAAATGCTGGGGACAGATGCTATAAAAGAAATAGCATCTTAAGAATAAAAGAAAATGAATTGGTGTGAAGGAAGAGACTCACTAAAGAAATTTCAGCAGAAATTTTATATGGAAGCTAGTTAATTGATGAAGGAAATAAATTATGAACTCTACGAATAGGGGGTATTTGGAAGGAAAACAATGCTCTTTAAAAGATTTAAATGACCAGTATTTTTAAGTGAAGACAGGTTTAACTAAATCATATCTCAAAAATTTGGGTAGATCGACCCAGTTTTAAATACAAACCATTCATTTGATGTACATGTCAATCATTTTATAGTAGCAGACTTATTACCTTACATATAATGCCTTACAGGCCCACAGTATTATATAGCTTATGTGTTTTTTTTGCAATGTGGCATGATGATTACAAAAGGACCCAGTATAAGTTGAGACAGTTTATGACAAGGTACCTTTTTAATGTACACATAGATGTGTTAAAATGTATTTGTAATCTACATTATTTTGTTCTGTGCAAGAACATATTTCCTCATAATGAAGATCTTGCTGTGTCTTTTTAAAATATAGGATATAAAATGTGTATGTTCCCCAAAACTTCATTGGTTAAAATTGGCTTTAGTTGTAATCCCTGATTTCCATAACTTTGCTAAATGCTGAGCGTCATGATATTTGTATCATGATTTTTATATCATCTTGGGGCTTCATATCCAGTTACTCAGATGATATGTAGCAATTCATTAGATGGTATAAAGCTAAAGCCTCCTAGTAAGAATATCTTTCTTGCCCATTTTACCTGCCTGCCCTATCCAATTAAAAAATTTGGATGACCAAAGAAATCAATGAGTATTTCCCCAACATTCTTTGGAAAATTTTTGTTAAAAAACTATTATGGAGAATATATGGATTTGATGTATTATTTTTGGATGCATAATATTAATGTCACAGTCATGACACGTCAGACATTGAGGTATGCTTCCGCTCCACAAGTCTTCTGGCATACTCTGCTGAATGTAATGGGCTAGCTTTTCTAAACTATAATTGCCTGATTTAGGATAATAGGACATAGTCCTGATGTGACATTCAAAATGAGACAAGGTGCAACAAGTGACTTGCCTTCAGTGTTCATACAGCAAGTGCACTATTCTTGATTGTATTGTATAGGACTAGATTATTTCCACTGGGCACTATTCTTAATTCTCTCTACACCCTGTTGCCATATGCTACTTCTAGGCAGAGAACCCCACTTAAAATACGCTTTAATGGGATCTTTTAGAAAAGGATAATGTGCTCCATTTTCTTTTCTTTTTTTAATGGAGGATAAAGATCTATTCAATAAAAGGTCATTTGAAAAAAATGCATAGAAAGGCTTTTTCCCCCCAAGACCTGCACCAAATAAGTTTGATCGAAGAGTATCAGAGCTATAGAGACACTCTGGATACAAATATGGTATTTTATACATGTCTCTCTCCCTCTTCCAAGAGCAGGACATTACTAAGGTATTCAGTGCAATTCTCTTAATACTAGTGGAATTTGGAAGTGACCAAGTGAACGCCGATATTTGGAAAACCAAGTGGCCATTTTGGGTTCACTTAACCTTGCCCTGTGGAATCACTTACACTTTAATATGCTTTCTTTGATTTATAAAGTTTGATGCCCAGATCTGGATCCCCAGTTCACTCCAATCAGAGGACTCAAACATGCAACCTATTTTCCAAATGACTAAAGAATGTCAATCTTCTGGTTCTCCAAATAAATGATTCCGTTTTAAGGTACATGCCAGTTTTGGGGAATAGCAATTTGACTCTAAGACATCAAAATCTGTTGGTTGGTTCTTACTGGGAAATGTATTGTGGATAAAATACTCATTGTCATTCTAGACTTTAAATGGGGGACAGCAACTGTGGACATACGCGAAGAGCATCTCACATAGAAAACGTTCTGGGGGGAATTTCTGTGTGGTGCTCATTTCTTGTGCATAAGAGTTGAACGGGTAGTGCTTAATCAGAAGGTGTGACTGTGTGCATATCCAAACGGGTTTGTTCTGATTTCCTTCTCTAGGGCTGTAAGCAGAAAGATTGTATGTGTACACACACACACACACACACACACACACACACACACACACACACACACAGATTGTAAAGAAAGGAACAAGATTATTTTCTGCTATGCTCCTTAAAAACTGGTGGTTCACACAGGAAATCCTAATTAATAATTTTAAACCAAACATTCATAGTTTTATTTATTGCAGTTTTGCTGCATGGGACTTTGCTTTCATAAACCTATGTAGTGGTGAATTTGTCCTAATTTACTGATCTGGAACACATCTAATCACAGTTGAATTTATACCCAACAACCCTGGTGTAGTTACATTACAAAAGACATGAAATTGACATGGGAAAACTTTAAGAGGTACTGTACCCTTTTTTCCAAGAGGAAATATTTCAAAAAATGAAACTATAAGTAGGCACTTCAAAAAAGAGAAAATATTTTATGTTTGTCTTTTGACTGACATGCTATAAAAAGGATTATATTTGTGAAAGAAGATAATGATTGCCAATATTTCAAATACCATCTTGCAATGTATAGTTTTTAGTGACATCGTAGTATAAATCTGTAATTTGAAGTTTTACTTTGGAATGTAAAGTAGAAAATACTAGCTATGTCAATGATATCTTGCAAAGTGTTCCCATTTATAATTATTTATATTGTAAATAGCTTTCTGAAGTAAATTTGAAGTTAATGTGCATAAAATGTATTTATTATGTGAGGAATTTTTTGGTTTAAAATACAGTTACCAATATACAGCTTGAGTCCGAATTACTCATTGAAAGAAAAATCTCTGTAGAATAAAACACTGACAACTAGAAAACTAGAACTGTAAAGAAATAAGGATCTTTTTAGCTCTGGGTTGTGTTGGAATTCACACATACACACTCGCACACTGTAAGAGACCTAGCAAGCAAAGCTTACATATATGCACAGAACTATTAAATAATGAGTCTGATTTTCATTAGACACTGGAAAATGGTTCCTCAATTTTTCCTTAGAACATCTTAAGTAGGACTCCTTGGGTCTGCATTTTGTTAAAATAAAGCAAGATATCTGAAAATATAGATTACATTTTTGGTGCCCAAGGGGAACGAAAACCAACAATACAGAGATTATTTAGTTTACTCTCTTTCAAAAACACATCTTGCATAGTTTTTATTTTGGAATCCCAAGTATTTTTTAAATTTAGATTTAGGAATTAAAGTCAAAATCTTAAAACTAGATTTCCACGTGGTTCTCTGTTAAACATTTTTGAAGCACCCAACGTATTTGTATTTTTTCTCCAGGGATTTCTGATTTACTTGGATACATCCCAGAAATTGTCGACCCTTAACCAATTCAGCAAATCAACATTACATATTTTTAATTCAGTGGAAATGCAGTTTGTATTCAATGAACTTTTAAAACAAAGCTGCACAAAATATCATTGCCCTTAATAATATGGCATTTCTCAGATATTTTCCAACATGATTCTTTAGGTACTTGGAGTGCTTTTGTTTTGGAAAGTAAAGTTGTTTTCACCTAATTTATCCTTCAAAATATGTGCCCTTCCAAGTTAATCCACCACATTTATGGAATACTTCTTATATGCCCCAAATGGGAATCTTGCTCATTATAGGAGGTTATAGAAAGCACATACAGAGAGTCTTGGCT